ACTACAAACTATACAGCCCGACACAAAATGTCTTCTATACGGGATACAAGTATTCCTTAAGAAAGTAGCGGCAAAAATCAAGGTGACAGTGCCCGAACTGTATCAATCCTTGAAAGAAACAGTACAGAAAAAATTGGCCCAAATGCCAATATTCTTCGGATTTTTTGGTACTAATATTAACCCGTTAAATGAAAACATAAAACATCGTGAAGAAATCAAACTTCATCCAGAGTGGAATCGTATATATGGTCCAGGTCATACGTATTGGACTGGCGCTCTGCAAGATGGACTAGATCGTGGTCCTCATCCATATTATTGTCCAGTGGGATGGAAAAGATATTCTTTATATGTTGCCGATAACTTTCGCGAGAAGTTTTCAGGATGGTGTGTATGTTATCATGGTACTAAATTTCAATATGGTTTATCGATTCTAACAAGTGGACTGAAACCGGCAAATGCTGCTGAACATGGTCAAGGAAGCTATTTCAGTCCTTCGATTATTTATGCATGCCATCCACGATATTCTGAAATAAAACCCGTTCTGCCAGAGCACCAAAATGTTTTTGGGAAGTCTGCTAAATATATCCAATTTGTGTTAGAATGTCGCGTTCGTCCACAGAACATTATAATTGGGTGCGAAACATTCCATATTGAAAACACTACTATCGATCATAATATACCAAATAATGTGCTTGAATGGATTGTTAACACTGGCGATAAAATCATTCTAGACTTCGCAGATTTAAATGCCACCGTTGTTTGCACAGGATTGATGGTACGTGTTACAAACAATCATCCTTACTTTTTCTCCGAATCTCAATGGTGGCAAAAAACATGTCGATGCAACAATAATTTTCATTGCGCCTGGAATGCTGACCGCGATGACTTAGAAAAACAAAAAGCAAACGGAGCAACATGCATTGTTGTTCTCAATTAAACCAAAAATTTGCTATTTTCTTTATGTTTCCATTTTCTCTCTTGTAAGAGTCATCGACTTAAAAAGAGGAGCGGCATTTCAGTTCCATTGCATTTTTACATAATCTGATAGAACCCATTGTACTGATTCCGAATGTACTATATAATATTCTTCAAAAATTTTACGACTACTATCTTTGATGAAACAAGTTTCTATAAGAAAAATGAAAAACATACGACAGTAGTTAATTATCAAAGAGCTCGAGAATCTGGCAGTTTTGGGGTGTGAGTGTGAGTGTCAGTATGGGTGTGGATGTGGATATAGGTGTGGGTGAAGAAGAAACATGCACCCAAACCTATACTCACAGCCACCTAACCCACACCGACATTTC